ACAAGAAAATGTGGTAATCTTATTTTTTTATCAGGTAATATAGATTGTTTATATATTTAATATTTTTTGTTTCTCCTGCTCCATAATTTTTTTATAACTTGACTACTGTAATTCTGCAATGGTACTGCATTTAAGATATTCTTCTGGCACATTTATCTTGACAAAAATCCAGTTTACTAAGGGAATTTATTCTGATGCCATTAACAAGTAAAATACAATCTAAACCACAGACTCAAAAGGAAAACAATACCACATTTCAAGGCAAATGTAGTGGACACCATAACACCAAGGTGCAAATCTGTGGTATACAGAAAAGTATCGAAGGAAAGTAGCATTACTGCATCTCAGGGCTACTCAGAACATTTTCCCTGGGTTTTTTTGGTTTTTTTTTTTGCTTGGCTGGTTGGTTGTTTTCAAGAAAATGGTTAAGATAGGAAAAACATTATTTAAATTAAACCAACAGAAGAAATCCTTACTTCACTTAAGAGAATGTTAACTTTCGTATCCAAATAAAACCGTTAGATCTTTCTTTCACTTTAAGAATTAAGTGCTAAATTAACATCAAAAAAATTAGTTGAATGATCAGATATTCACCTCTTTCCTGAAGTTTCAGGTCTTCTTTATGATTCTCAATACAAATAATTTTTAGTTTCTTAATTCCTTCAGTATTCGAGTCAGTATATTTTGTCAGGACAAAGTTCACTCCCAATACTAACTTTCTCACATAATTTTGTTTGTACTATCTTCACCAATGTCTAGCAGCAGTGGGACCCTTCAGAAACATGAAATTTAACCAGTTTCAGGATTGGTTCACACCTTTCTCTTTACATAATCCACTGTGAGTATTAACATCAATCAGAAGCACCTACCTTCAAAGGTGACTCAGTTTTGTCTGGTTTTTCATTCCTCAGATATGAAAAACACTAAATTCCTGCATGAATACAGCCTTAAGAACAACTTAAAAATCACTTCAATGAAAGTGAAGCCTCTGGGAGGGATGAGACCTTTTCTTAAACTGGTATGCCAAAATGTTTTTTCAAGCACATGATGCCATTTGCTAGGCTGAAAATGTTACACTTCCTTACTAATGGCTAAATATCACTTCGAGACGAATAAAGGACAGTCTGGCTAATTTAAAAGAAAGAAGTTTGAAATAATTTCCATTGAATAGTATCTTTTAATGTGTATTGTGAGTGTTTCTTTTTGTGGTAACAGTAACGAAAGCTTAAACCTAAACTCGGTGACAGTAAACCCAGACAGTAAACCTAAACCCAGACAGACACACTGACAAAAACACATCTTGAAGTTCAGCCTTCTAGTAAAGCACTAGAATAGTAAGCAAACCTCACAGGAATGATGCTCATTCTTCTCAACCACCTTCCACAGCATTTGGAAGAAAAGAGGATAACAGTCAATCTACCTTTTGGAGTTCTTTTTCTTGCTAAGCTCCTCCTTGATTCACCAAATCCATACATATATACATACAGGCATAATCTATATAACTGGATATAATAGATACAATTAGATAAAACATACTGTACATACTAAGTTCAGAATACCTGCACTCCAGCTACACTTATATTCTCTCTAGCTGCACGAGTTGAGACAAAATTTCCAGTTGTTTTGACACAGAATTTTTCAGAAATTAAGTTTATGGCCATAAATCACCTCTGATTACTTTAATAGGGTCATTTTGAATGTGAAGATGTCTTTGTAAGTTCATAAATTTTCTTGATAATTTTGTGCCTGTGGCTTGTATATCGTAATTCTGACAATTCATGCAGATAGCATTATGTCATAAATTACCACGTTTAGTTTGGCATGAATCTCAGGTACTCATGAACACTGCCTCCATTGTTTAAATATGTAATATATATGACACATGCGATTCAATATCCAAAAATAAAGGAATACTTAGAAAAAACTAACACTTAGTTGAAGAATGAGGATTGGATTTTTCCTAATGATTTGGGATGCAATTCTAATTGGAAGAAAAAAAAAATCCATGATACCCTACACTTTGAAGCATTCTTGAAAGCCCAGTCTAAAAAAAAAACACATTCCCACATCAAGCATTGCATTACAATACCTTCTGCAAGATTTCTAATGACACAGAAGCATCTCACTTAATACCCAGCTTATATAATGAGTGTGAAGAAAAAAAAAGAGTAACTTTTACTTTAAAATTAGCCTAGATGGAGAACTCTCCCTGACAAAATCTATAATGCTTAAGATAAAATCTATATAATGTGAACTATTAGTATTTTGTTGAAAAGCCATTAGGCTCGATTATAAACCAGATGATACAAAAAATATTATGAACATACCCCACTGCTATTGAACATAATTAGTTCTCAGGCTTTTAAACTTGCACACACTTATATTTTTACATCTGAGTGGCTCCACTGAAATCAATCATATATATCAAATAAAATTAAACTAATTTATACAGATTATACACCAAATCAAATCACGTTAGATTAAACACCAAGTGCCCAGAAAATAAAAAACCTCCTCTAACAAAACTAGCCCATTTGATAGAAAGTGACTGCATATTTTTTTTCATAGAATAGGCTGCAGCTTAATCATTTCAACCTTTAATTACTGCATCAGATAATGACTATTTTGAACATATGCTTCTCCGCTCTGCTAGAAGACATGAATGAAAGAGAAACAAGTTCATATGCATTCTACTGAGTGTGCATGTTGGGGGAGGGAGCAGCAGGCTAAAGAGCAAAGGGAACCAAGTGGCAACAATTGGAGGAAATGGTGTCTGTAACAGCTGCTCCTTTCAGATTCCCCTAGAAGGAGACTGCCTGAGGTGGACCACAGCACAAAAGGATAAAGAAGATGAAAACTGATGCAAAGCAGGGAAATAACTGCTGAGACCCCTGAGTCTACACCCGAATAGTCCCAAGCTGTGTGGCAAGACCTCTTTAGCATGCTACAGAAGCTGGTGATGAACTACATATTACCATGAGGCAAACTGGCTCCAAGCAGTATTGTCTGCATGTTATGTGTAATGATAACCAGTGCTCCTCTGGGAACAGGATGCAATGATTTCATCTCCGTAAGCATCTGAGCTCCCCTTGGAAACAGAGACCATTAAACTGAGAACAGAAGGGTAAATCTTAGGCAATGATTTCCAACTGGAGAGGGAAGACAACTTGTGCTCTACACTACTGTCAACCACTGACACTTTATTGCTGTCTGTGTTGATCATAGGACAACAAGAAATAAAACTGTATCCCTTTTTCTAAGTCCCAGTGTATTTTCTGAATGAAAGTACTTGATAGGTTTCTTATGTAATATTATTGGAAATGCCATCCTATAGGAAATGCCACTATATTATTGACACAGAAAAGTATTGGTAGTTTCATTACTGTTAAAATAACATTTTACACTCTTAACATAATGTATCATTTGCTTTGTACTACAGAGACCTTCTTGCCCTTTTAACATAATTGCACATTGCTTTCCTTAAATGTCATGGGAGTTTGTAGGACTAAAAACAAGAGGTACAACCTATTATTTATATATTTTAAATTAATAGTAGCAAGCAGTATATTACAAAACTCAAGGTTTCAGAAGCTCCTTTAAAAAAAAATTCCACATACAACAAAAAAAAATAGAACTTGCAAATGATTGCTGTAACTTTTTGACAGGAGACATGTGGGAGCAATGAAGGGAAAGGAGTAGCAATAAAATGTAGACACAATTGATCCTGAGAAAATAGTACCAGGACACCTAATATTTTTGACACTTTCAAGGGTAGTTTGATCCTTTGTATATCAAGGAGACTGTGCAGTCCTGTTCATTAATTAGTTTCTCCTGTGATGGAGAGATCAAGCATGTATGCAGGCTTCTCTATTTAGCACATTCGCTTATCTTCATAATTCAAACACTGTATTGCGACTCTCAGAAAATTAACAGAAAAGTTGTTCAGGCAAGAATGCCAACACACCTGTCAGGCAAAAAACAATAGCAGATAAACTGCAGTACAAAAAATTCTAGTCTAGCCTATCATACTGTATTCCTGGGAGAGATAAAATATCATATTCTCATTGGTGTTGCAACTATTGTATTGAAATGTATGCTGAACTCATTTGTGATTTCTAGTGGTCTATTTCTGAAAAAAAAAATAAACCATCGTAACAAATACCCACAATGAATGATCTCTATAAATCATGCTCACTAATAGAACACTGAGTCACTCTGCAGTTAAAGGAACAAATAGAAATAATAATTATCCAGCTGATTAATTGCAATAACCAAGGACAAAATATTCAAACAAATTAAATATCCACAGAATATTTCTAAGAGGATCATGGAGGACTGTGACTTCTCTGATGGCTGGCACAAACAAATCAAGTTGCTGTTTATCTTTCCTCTCACACTGAATCTATAAGGAATTAGAGAAACCCTCCTTCCAGACAAGAATTCCACATGTAGAACTCTCATTGTCTTAGAATTGTTAAGGCTCAAGGGAAACAAGAGAACAGTAGTTTGTACTCAAGTATCAACAAAAGATATTGCATCATCATTACAGCTTTTCATACCAAAAGCAATTCATACTTCTTCTAAATTCCTGATGTTCTGACAAACTCAACATGTGAATCGATGCATTTTTCATTGTTGCTCAGAAATATACTGTATCAAACTAATCTGCAAAAAAAAAGGTGTTTTTACAAAACCCTAACTAAATAAAAACTGATTTATATATGCATATATGCAGGAAAAGGAAAGCTAGTCACATATAACCTGAATTGCCAATTTATATTATTTCTACAGATCCAAGTATGAAAACCTGGACTCCATCAGTTCTGGAATCTACTGGAATCAGAAGTGCTTAAGCCACATGGATCCCTGCCTACAGAACTCGATATAAAAGGTCTGTGAGCCAAGTCTCTCCAAGTCTTTTCCACTCTCCAAATGCCTAAGATGCCCAGGAGGCAGAGAAAGGCACTGAGAAAGCTAAAGCAACTTTAAAATAAACTTACTGATAATGCTGTCTGTTGTTCTCCAGAAAAATGATATGCCAAACTTAAGCAATATGCAGCTTCTCCTTCCATCTTCACGTTACCTGCTAAAGAAAGGATTAAAGTTACAGTTACCAACATAAGCTGAACTACATGACATGAGTGCAGACAGTTCTTGCAGGTTCTTATATACTATACAGATGTTAAAATACTGTAGTGAATTTTTCCTTCTCCTTACTCCTGCCATTTATCTCTATCCAAAAATATCCAGTGGTAATTAAAAAGAGACAAAGTTCAACAAGAAGGTTCAGCAAAGTCAGAGAAAATATCTTTCAGTAAAGGAGTAAAATCTAATTAACATGCTGTAATGTTCTCTGCCACTGAGTGTTTAATAATAGTCCTATGTGTCTTCACTTTAGAAAATCACTCAAAATAAAAAGTAGCTACAGACATGTAATACACCCTAATATATAAACACAAAATACATGCTGATCCATACACTTTCCTAACGTGAACCTTAGTGAAACACCATGAGAGAAACATCAGCAGACCAGTTTCATCTCTCTTCTTCTCACGGCTATTTTACAAGCTAATGTAGGCTAAAATAGCTAAAAAATAGGTAGGTTCTTCTTGCAAGCAGTAGTTATACAAAATTCTGCACAGGCAGTTGCTAACTGAGGTACATCCCACTTTTCCATGCCAGGTTTTGTTTCACTGATACTGATCTAACGAACTGCTTGCTGGTCTTTTTTAGCTATTTTAGCCTCAATAGAAAAACATAAATTCAACACTGAAATAAATATACATTAATTATAGAAGTTCTTACTATATCACACTATATTCAGAAATTTCCCTCCAGAACATAAGCATCCATCTAAAAAACCTGTAGATAAAATTACATTAAAAATAGCCAAAAATCTTTCTTTTGCTCAATATCAGTCTACTTCATTGAACACATTGAACAGTGAAAAATCAACCTGAAGCATAACTGCATATCAGGGTAGTTTGTAAAATGCATAAATTAATATAGTTGCAATGAAAAGGGAGATCACCTGCTTACAATTGTCAGACATTCTTTCCGTCCAAACACATAGAAGCCTACATCCAGTTCTGGAACTCTCTGACTGATAGCAATTGCTGAGGCCATAGCAGTGCTCTATCTGCAGCACTTACTAAGTTACTTAAAATTATTAAAAGCCTGTAAATCAAAAACCTCATTTTTTTCCCCAATATTCAATATCCCTTAAAAGGCTTAATAAGGCCAAAGGGTACATAAATGCAGTTTTACAGAAGAATAATGTTCAAAGTTGCTAGGGATGTAAAAAACTTTCTTCCTTGCTCAGGAATAGTTTGAGAGTCTGAAGTGGGTAATATCTAATTCTATTTCACAAAATACATAACCACAGACGATGGTCCAGAAGGACAGAATGGACATTAGAGATGGCATCTCGTACCCAGTATGGCTCTGGAATGAGGACTGGAGAACTCCTCAGAAAGAAGTTCTAAAATTTAAAGAGAAAATCAGCAACTATACTGTGATATTTAATACATGTCTTATGAACTATTGCTTGAGTTGAAGTAATGGCACTGGAACATCTGCCTGGTCAAAGTAAGTTGTGGAAGACATCAGATCCATTTTGACAATCTCTTAATTTCCAGCAGCTTTCACTAGCAATAAGAAGTTGTTGATGGGAAATTTCATCAACAGTTCTTATAGCTACTAGAGTAAATATTAGCAGCAGCAGTTTTACTCCAGCTGTGATTTAAGCATGTATTAGACACAACAGCTATAGAAAAAGCTGAAAGCTTGTACTTGATCAACAGACGCAGCGGAAAGAAATGGAGAAGTTATTGGGTACGTGTATCCTTCTTCAGCTGCTTGATTGTATTGGCATTCTCAGTATTTGGGTACATTCTCCCAAGAGAAAAGTTCTAAACAGGCAACTAACAGAACAGATCTACTAAAATGTACATAAACCAAAAATAGATTATTTAGTGATTTAACTAAAAGAAAAAAACAGCCAAATACAATCATATAGTTCACAAATTAAACATTCAGTGTGGAAAGAATTGAATCCTTGCCCCCCAAGTCCTGTTCAGTTTATTTCCCCAAAATTACAACAGAAAAGCATTTAGATTTCAAATGGTGTTTTAAAATATTATCCTTTGTGAGATAAGGCAAGATGAGAAATTTTGGTTCTTTAGAGTTACTGAAGTCAAAGACTATAGAATAAAATCCCCTGAAACAGAAATAATTTGCTAGCACTTTTAAAAATAATAAACAGCAAAATTCACACAGGATTAGATGCCCAAAAGCTTGTTCATTTTTTCCAGCTTGTTCCATTTTATCCAAGAGTATCTATAGGCCTAATAAAGGTATTTCTTTTTATTTCTTTGTTTCACTGAATACATTTTATACTTTTCTATGGAATGCTATGTTATACTATCTACCTGTACAGTCACATATTCATTTGTGGCAAAGCTTATTTTAAAATTTGGAAAATATTTTAAATTTTTTTGGCCCTTTTTGATATTTTAATTCTATCTATCCCAACTATTACTCAAAGACTCGGAAACAGATTAATGTTGGGCATACATTATTAAATTAAAAAATGTATCTAATGTATCTGGTTATAAATATTGAATTAATATTATATATTAATTGTATGTGCAATTCATATGCAAAATATGCCCCTTAAGGAATACCATGAAAGGCTCTTGAATTGCTGTGCATGGAAAAAGGTTACTATTGGAAAACTGCTATCTTACTTCTGAGAAGTCCTCCAATAATCATATAGGAAAATCATCCAGAAAAAGTAATTCTGCAGAAGTGGACCATTAACAGTATCTTTCGAGAAAGAAGCATTATTAAGCTTCCCCCCAAAAAAATCAGGAAAAAAATGTGTGTTTTCATAAAGTCAACTGGCAAGATTTGCTTTCTTTTTTCCATTCCTCTCATATGTAAAAAATGCTCCAGAGCACAGTATTTCTAGCTGATCAGCATCTCACAATACATGTAGCATGCAAATGCTATTCTAATTCCCCCAATCCTAAACCTATCCACACAAAATGGGCAAAGCTTCATAGAGCCATTACTTAGAACAAGACAGCGATCAGGAGTAGTCACCACGGATTTCAAACAGGAAATTTGTGCTTCACCAACCTGATGGCTTTCTATGATAAGATGAAAGGCTTGATGGACGAAGGTAAAAGAGTGGATATTTTAATCTCAATTTTAGCAAGGCTTCTGACACCATCTCCCATAACATCTTCATATGGGTTCTGATGAAGGATCACTTAGATAAACAGACAGGGAGGTAAACTGAAAGTAGAGGAGCTGCTGGCCTTTAAAAGGGTGTAAGCAGCAGCATGAAGTCTAGTGGAAGGCCAGTCACTAGTGGAGTACTCAGGGATCAATATTGGTACCAATACCGACTAGTATCTTCATTAATGACCCAGATTGGGGCGACCAAGTGCATCCTCAGCATGTTGTAGGCAATACAAAACTGGGGAGGAAGGGTTGATCCAGAAGGCAGGTGGTTGTGCTGCCATTCAGAGGGACTTTGGCAGCCTTATGAAGTTCAGGAAAGGGAAATGCACAGTCCTGCACCTGGGGCAGGACAACCCCAGGCACCAGCTCAGGCTGTGAGCTGACCGGGTGGAAAGGACCTCGGCAGAGAAGGACATCAGTTTCCCAGTGGACAGCAAGTCCACGAGGCAGCAATGCCTGTTCATGGCAGAACTGACCAACGGGATCCCAGGCTGCATCAGGCAGAGCATTTCAAGCAGGTTATGGAGGGGGTGATCCTTTGCCACTACTTAGCACGGGTGTGCTGCCCCCAGGAGTGCTGTGTCCCATTCTGGGCCCCCCAGCACAAGAGAGAGGGGGACATAGTGGAGTGAGTTCAGCAAAGGGCTGCAGAGATGACTGAGGGACTGGGAGCATCTCTCCTAGGAGGAGTGCCTGAGGGAACCGGAACTGTTGAGACCACAGGAGAGAAGGCTCGGGGTGATCTTATCAGCACCTCTTTGGCATAAGTAAAGCAGAGGAAACCAGGCTCTTCTCTGTGGTGCTCAGTGACAGGGAAAGAAGCAAAAGGCACAAAATGGAATTCTATCTGAACTCAACAAAACACTTTGTAATTGCGAGGGTGTTTGAACAGTGGAAAGTGTTTCCCAGAGTGGTTATGGAGGCTCCAGCTGTGGAAATACTAAAATTTTGACTTGATCTAGTCCTGGGCAGACTGCTCTAGCCAGCCTGATGATTTCCAGAGGTCTCTCTTCCTACCTCCGCTATTCTCTGATTCTCTAGTTTGTTACTTCAGGTTTCAGAGTATTTATGTATATTAAGATATTCAGAAGAAGAAAACTGGTCTTTTGCAAGTACTAAATAACTATGTAGAGAGAAAAGCTCATTTTCTGGCAGATAATATCACTCAAAAATTGCCAAATCAACAGTGACTAGCCAATCAAAATCAGTGACCTAAGCTTCCATCAGTGACCTCACTTTCTGATTATGGGTTCACAGTTTTACATTATTATTCCCACAAGATTGTCAGGTTTGTTTAGAGATAAAGCTTTGAGGAATCTAAAAGTTTCTTTGCTGTCAGCAGGAAGGCATTTCTGCCTTAGTGAGATCTGCAAGTGTATTGATAGCATTTGTCTTTGAATTTCACAGGAAATAATCACCCAAACACTTTACAATTTCTACTTTACTCTTGGGAACATCATGACATTCACAGAGAATAAAGGGATGGGAAAGCATTATTTTCCACCTACCTTCTTTTGCCATCTTTAAAGCTTTTATTAGTGTTTTGATGGCCTCTTGGTGTTCTTTATTTTCTAGCATTTTGTCTGCTAGTAATGTATAAATTCTCCAGAGATGCTCACATGCCAGTAAATTGTAAGTATGGCCTGTCTCATCCGTCCATGATGATCCCTCTGTTAGCTGATAAAATGCTTCATAATGCTCAGCAGCTTCCATGACATGACCTGAAAAATGTCATTCATAATTAAAATCAGTTCAATCAACAAAAAAATTTAAAAGTCAGTAGATTATAATAATTTTATGCAGCCAAACATTTCACAGATTTTTCAAGAATCTTCAATATGTAACTCACAGATCACTGGAAAAAATTGCCAAATCTCACAGTGGCCTGTAATGCTAAAATTACAGTTTATCACATTTTAAATGATCTTTCCTTTGTAGATTCACAATGTTAAAGGGGTGTGATCCCAAGGATGCAAAGTTGGGATTTTCTAGAAAGTAAATTTATTCTATATTCATGAATATAGCCTTTGTTGTTCTTGTATATTAAAATTACATCTATGAATAAATAATCACAATTGAAACCGTTCCTTAAGTTTCTTTTTCCATAATGAAAACCTGTGCTGAAAGATTTGAAATGTGGAGGATAAAGGTACCAAAACTGTGGGGAAAAAAATAATAATCTTTATTCAAATAAATTAATTGATGAAAAAAGAATTATTATGCAAAGTAATTTATTCAACAATTATTACCAGGCCAGCTCTGGTGAGTTTATCTAGTAGATTTACTGCAAGAGCATTAACCATTGATAAATTAATTATTGAGCCTGAAGTAATATACTTCAAGGTCTTCAATAAGTTACTCAATATCTTTAAGGCAAAGAAAAGTTTGACGATAGAGTTCATTCATTTTAACATGCAAGTAGTTTTCCTTCTACCTTCATTTAGATTTATCTCTGTGCATACAATTCAGTCGAGAAGCTTTCTATGTTTTCTGGACAATGGACATATAAAGAATGGAAAGAACATATTCTTCATACATAATGGGTACAGAAAAACTGCTGTGAAGCAGGTGAGACCATTTACATTGAAAATAATTAAAAAACCCCATGTTCTGGTCACAGTACCTTGTTTAACAGAGAATATTCTACAGCAGGGAGAACTGGTGAATGTGACCCTGCCTTCATGAGTTTGTGTGTGTGTGATGGAGGAATCTTGTTCCATAGATCATTAATACTATCAAATGCTATTTCTATTAAAAGATGAAACAAACCATAAACTAAGCTCATTTAGATGTGTTTGTAGCTTACACCTCTTCTGAAACATGTTTCATAAGGAACTATTACTGTTTTGCAGGGGTTTTTTTACAGTGCTGCATTCAAATTGCAAAAAGAACCAGGGTGGAGAAAAGTTGTTTCCCAGTTGTAGGAAAGGAAGGGAGAATAGCATGGAGAAGGATCTTTTTTAAGCATTCCTAGAGAAAATGAAGCTAGTTCCCCAGGCCTCTAGCTAACCTAAAGGCAGCAGAACAGCTATGACAGATTTCTCTTATTAACTCAATTTAGATTTGTCTTTTGCATATGTTACCCCTTTATAACCATGCTTTCAACTCTGCAATATAAAACATAACTCATCTTTATTAGAATTAAATTTATTTTCATATTAAGCTTCTCTGGTGATTAAAATGAGTTCAACTAAAACTGACAAGCAGAAGAAACTTCTCTTTCAACAAGGCAACGAGTCAAATGAGTTTCACAGACAAATTATTTTAAGGCTGTACAACCTGTGATTCACATAAGAGTCCCAGAGGACACAAGTGCTGAAGAGTGAAGTACCAGGTAAAAGGGGACCCAGCAGGCTTTATTCAGTTCTATTCTAGCAAGGGACAGGTATGGGACAGGTGGCCCAAACCACTGGGAAAACAGGAGAAGATCTATACATTCTTTCCAAAATATCACATACTTGACATCAGACTGAACAAACAGAAATGTGAAGGGAAATTATCACAACCAGGGGAAGCGGTTTAGGGACTCACTGACAGTATATGTAACAGGAAATAGAGATCTAGACTTGCTAAAACCAGATGAAAACTCCTGTCCATTCTTAAGAGGTTTCCAATCGAATTTGAGTTTCTGCCTGTCCAGTCCAGCTAACTCCTTAAGGAACCATCAACTCGAAATTCCAGTTATCCAAGTTGGTAAATGCAGATTTAAGATACTGATTGAAGAAGCTGGTTTTGGCTCTGTGACAAATGATGGAAAGTTGAGTTGAAATTTAACATTAGTAGCTAGATCTAGCACTTTGTTCACTTGTATAGTCACAAGCACATACACACCCCTACTAGAAATTCTTCCCAAAGTTCAATAATGAATTGATTGTTCTTTTGAAAGGATATTGCCCTAAATAACATAATAAACATGTGATCCAGTGATCTGGATCCACTACATGTGTATGGATTCTTTAGAATAATAGAATTTGATTCACGTGTTACTAAAAAACTTTTAGCATGAATGGGAGGCAGCAAACAAATGAGTGATATCACCTGAATGTCTAATCTGAAGCTGAACAAAGTATCTGAGTTTCTCCTAAAACTCTGTAATAGAATCTCTTAATGGGACACACCATTTAAGTAAATAATACTTGCAACCTTAAGAATTATTGTTTACATTGTTAGAACTATCAGATATGGTAGATCTTTCCCATGCTTTCTCACTCGCAGTATCTCCTGAGAAAGTCCCTGTCAGACTGAAAAAAAAAACAAAAAAACCAAAAAATCGAACTCACACATTCCATGTACTCCACAGTTCTCAAGAGTTGACCAAACCGTAAGAGCTGTGACCTGACATTCTTTTTGCCAGGTCTCAGTGAAACCTCTATGGAAACAATCCATCTACATCAAGCTTCAAAATACAAAAGCAATATAATCTTTTCGGTAATAGTCAAATGGACCTATAATACATTTGGCTTCACTGAATTACCATGATTATGAAGTAAAAAGTAAAACAATCTGCCTGCAGAAATACCAAAAACAAAACGCTGAGCCAAAAGCCAAAACACTTGCTAGTTCCCTAAACAAGGAAGAGATGGAATTACTGACCTGAAAGCCCTTATGTGGTTACAAATTTGCTTACTGAAGACTCTTTTTAATAAAACTTCTCAAATTCATGGACAGTAAAACATTTTAGACTTTGGATTTCCATGAAAATAATCTGAAATCCCTTGTTGCCATTGGCAAATGAAATATCGGCCTATTTCTTTAATCCGTAATGTTTATATGAAACTCAAATGTTGTGGGAAAACAATCTTTTCAGGGGGATGGCACATTTATTCTCTGTCATGAGTCAGTTCAGCTGGAATTGATCCGGCCTGTGCAATCCACTTCTTAAACACTGAACTACTGCAACTGCTGGCATACATATGCAGACCTATGTAGATGCTGCCTGAAAATCTTGAAAAACATTAAAAGAAAATAATAAGCCAATTGCAGAACATTTCTGAGAGTAAGAGCATTTTTATCTCACTTGAACAGTGACAAGGCAGAGTTTTAAATGACTTATTATCAACTGAAAAAAAAAAAAAAGGAGAAAAAAAAGCAAAATGAGAGGAAAAACAATGGAGCAGGAAAAAATCACTTGAAACACTTTGCAGAAATGCATTTTTTTATCTCTAGTAATTCAAAGAGAAAATCCAGAAGGTGTTTCCAGGAAGTCTATATTTGAAAAATCTATTTGCAAAATGTTACATCAAGCAGTAAAGCTATTTAAAGTTGGCAACATTAATAGCAATTGCGTGTTTCTTCTCACAGTGCCATGCAGAATTTAGCTCAGTGGACACTAAATGGAATTTGAGAATCTCTGATATATCTCTTCCTTTCTTATAAAAGGAATCAAAAACCAGGAAGGTAACTCTTATAACATATGTACTACCACTACTAAAATTGTATAGTTTAATATAACTCAGGGCATAACAAAAGAAGCCCCATCAGCAATAGTTAATCTTAAATATGGGAGGCAAACATTGTCACAATATAATTTTGGGAGCAAAAAAATGGTTTTAAACAATTATATGAATATAAGCCATTACTCAGCTCCAACAGTCTCAAATTTTAGAAATTCCTTGTATTTTCATAGAAACTACATATATGTATGCACAAAGATTTGTGCTACAGTTTTCACTGAGCTGCTTTGAAGTAAAAAAATAAATCTATTCATTCAAGCAAAATAATTCTATGTAATTTTGTAAATACTGAAGAGAAACGTTTTTATATTCCCTAAAACTTCCTTTATAATTCCCCTTCCTAAAACCCAATCCAAAAGTACACATTTGTTATATCAAAATAGATATCAAACCAAAAGGGGTATATATGGAGACTACTATTTTGCCCTTTTTTTTTTTTTAAGTAGAAAGATTGACTAGATATTAACACAAATGGGTTTAAATGTGAAGCTGCCATAAAAGCAGGCACATAAATGTAATTCTCGCAGCCGCTATTTTGATGCACATTTTTGATTCCATGAATATTTTATGAAATGGCCCAAACTAAAGCCATATAACATTCCTGCATTACTGATGCTTGCGCCCGTAAGCTACAAACATTAGAGGCATGATTGAGTGCATTAAAATGAACTCATTCAGCAGTGCATTGATTACTTGAAGGAGAAAAAAAAAAAAAAGTTACTCCCACTTAAGAAAACAGCACACAAATCTGAAGTTTTCAATACTGAAATTAAAGATGCTAATTTGAATAATATGATATTTAATAAATAAAGGCAGTGCAAAACTATCTAGAATTCCCTACATACGGTCCTAACTTTAATTAGGTGAGATGTTAATTAGGCCCACAGATTGCTTCCAGTAGCGTACAGGTAATTTAAAATGTCACAATCTGCAAAATGCAGTGACTGACCTGCTCTAGCTCCATGCCTCAGCAATACTGAGAGCACCTAATGATTTCCTTTGCTATCAGCTCATATATTTACCAATGAAAATACTGCTACAGAAACAATTGCCCAAGAAAAGTGACAGGCCTGTTAGGTACACTGCTTCAGCAGCACTACTGTAAGCAGAAAGCACATTTAATTCTAAATTGGAAACAGTTGTTGAGGACTTCAGAAAATATTCCACTGTAGCTTAAAACAACAACCTAAAGGGACAATAAAGCTTTGAGCACATTATAGTATGTTTTAATCTAAAACTAGAACATCTTTTGCTGTCGGTTATTTCAC